ACCAATCGGCTTCGATACAGGTGGTTTGAGTGCTGTGGTTTGGTGCAGCAGCCTTGCAACAGTTGACCTCCTCCAGCAAGTAAATCTTATCATCATTGCCATTGACTTCATTGCGATAAAACCCTGTTATGTATTCATTTCACAGGTTGACCAGCCTCGAGTATCAAAACTTCTTCACCAGTTTGCCATTGTACACTGCTGACTCCAACAGTGACTCAATGTCAGCAAAATGAAGGACAGGGATCATACCAATAGTTTCATATTTCTGCTGGTCTGTAGTCAGTGCGCACTGTTAAAGTCCACAGTAAATATGAAATAATCAAGACTGACAGTTCTCAGATCACTTGATCCAAGAATAAAAAAGCAAGAGCACCATAAACATTTTACCCTTCAACGACTCAGTTTTGAACCCTTTAAAAACACAATATTTCCTTTCATTATGGTCTTTAGGATACAATCTACGGTCTTTTAATTTTGAGTATTTTAATTTTTGAGTATCTGTGCCGAAATGGATATTGTTTACTTTAAAATTTCCAATTACAGAAAATGAACAGCTACTCAAATATTGGGGTAAAATAAGTAGTAAGCGGAATACTCAGGCTCTATAAGGAGCGACGAAGTTACCTAAAAAGTTTATCTTCCGGTTTATCAACCGCCTCCCGGTTAGCTCAATTGGTAGAGCGCCGGACTGTTGTGCGGGAGGTCGTGAGTTCAAATCAGGCCGGACCAACACTCAGGGTCTTTAATTAACTGAGAAGAAAGTGCTGCCTTTGTAATAATATCTGCAAATGGTTAGACTTTCTAGTCTACTCGGATAGGGACGATAAATGGAGGTGTCTCCTGCAGGGTTGGGGTAGGAGACGTTAATTTCCCACACACGAGATTACTTTGTGGATGTCCTCCCCGGATGGGATGGGTGGGTAAAAAAGGGTTAGATGTCAATTGCAACGAAAGTTCTGTTCCTTTCTCCTGCTATTCCTATGGCGAATTAATTAAACTTAAACTTACACTCAGATTTCCGTGTCTCGATTAATTTGGCTTGCTCTGCCCACGAAGCCAATTGCTTGTTGATAGTTTTATGCAAGTGTGGACTAAACTGGTTTTTGAAATATGGTGTTCAAGAAAGGAACTCCTAGCTTTTAACGTTATTTGATTCAAACCTTTTTTTACTAAACTTTTCTGTGGGCAAAACACCTACATGGTAGCTGAAGAAGAGATGGTAAACTTTTCTTTTATTTGTTTTTTTTTTTTTATAATTCGTTTTCCAATGTCTCGATACATTTGGCTATATAAAAATATGGATATTTTTGAAAATTACCAACAAATGAGAACCAGTAAACTCAGTTATGATCACATAAACCTCTTCCAGAACTTTACAATTAGATCAAGAGTTGCCTATTTTCACATTACCGAGAGATACCTTTTACTCTGGCTACTTGAAAAGGTACAACACAACCAATTTTCTCTCTCTCTTTCTCTTGGCCACAAAGGAACCGACGAAGCAAGGCAAAGACCTGTGGCGAAATGGATATTATTTACTTTAAAATTTCCAATTACAGAAAATGAACAGCTACTCAAACATTGGAGTAAAATAAGTAGTAAGCGGAATACTCAGGCTCTATAATACCTAAAAAGTTTATCTTCTATTGTTATGAAATAATGTAACAGATAAACAAGGCAAAAATGGCAAACGATCTTTGTATTCATCAAAATTTAATAAGAGCTAAAGCAGATGCAGTAAGATTACACTCAGGTTCACTGAAATAGCCTAGAATTTGAGTTTCCTGTTTGGTATCAGTTTATTCAGGAAATAATTTTCAATTTTTTTTTATGATTCTAAAACGCACTGAAAACAGCTAGAGCCACACTCAGTTTCGGTCGGATCGATACTGAAGTGTATTGTAACGGAAGTGTTAAAAGGTTACGTTTGTAGGCATCCCGTGATGCCTAGCGAAAGTTGTTGTTGTGGTACTCGTTGGGTGCCATGTGGATAGTGTGTGGATTAAAGTATCGAAATCAAAGAACATCGAAGGCTTTTATTGCCGTATATCCAAATATCACAGATACAACGGACACTGACTTAATTCGGAAGCTGCATTCACCGAAACATTCAACCTCGGTAAAAGTCGAAAGCAGTTGGAAGCACTGAGTTGAAAGTAGCCAAGACAATTTATAAACGAATAAAGGCTGATAGTTTCTAAAGAAACTGTTTGGGGCTGCGTCGATGGGTTTACCAAAATAATTTGGATATATCAACAAAGTTGAAATCGTAAAATAATTGGCCACCGTAACGATTACAAAAGCTTCCACGAAGGGCTAAAGCTCGAAACGTCAGCTTTTGTAATCGTTACGGTGGCCAATTTACCATTTCAATTTTGTTGATATATCCAATTTATAAACGGCTCAGAAAAAATTTTAAGAAAACTACTTTAATGTTATAAGCACTGTTGGACAAATTCTTATTCTATTACAGGCAAATAAACATTCATCTTCAAGTAACTAATGTCTTTATTTGTTCTCCTGAAAATAAACGGACTGCATATACTTTGTCAATCTTACTAAGTGATATATCAACAAAGTTGAAATGATAAATTGGCCACCGTAACGATTTTTATCATTTCAACTTTGTTTATATATCCAAATTATTTCGTTACCCCCACTGACGCAGCCCCAAACAGTTTCTTTAGAAACTATCAGCCTTTATTCACTAAGTGATATGTCACCTGCCGGCATTCTTATGCAAACCGAAGATGTTCTTGCCGTCAGAGCAAAGGGTTGAGCAAACTTAGATTTTACAGCCAAAATTATTGCGAAAAAGTCCTTGATAGATTAGGGATTGCCGAAAACCGCTAAAAATTCAAAGGTTTGCTGCAGCTGAAAGGCTATTTTCGAAAACAATACACAACATACTACTTGGTCATGTGTGAGGCTGCTGACCAAGTAAATGGGCCTGTTATCTTTGACGACAGGGACAGTTTAACAACGGTTGCTAAAGGGGCCTGAATTCACCGGCAAAAGTAGCGTAGATTGACTTTACGACGTTACGAAGAACCGATCTAGCCTTGGAGACTCTTCTAACCCCAAGGTCACGTTGTTTTCACTGAAGTGACCCACGCAAAAATTTTAAACGGATAAGAAACAAGTGGCAACCTCTGTCGCTATGGCGAAGAGGTGCAAATGGAAACGATGTTCTCCTGACAGGTTTAGAGTCATTTGATGTCTCAGCAATGGTGAAGATGCCTGGTTCTAACACGTGTGGCACGGATTTCGTGTATGAGGTGTTAATCTAACCGAACAATACAGATGGAGTTTGCCTTTAACATCAATGACTTGTTACTCGATCCAATTACACTCGTTGACGACAAGTTAGCTCCATTTCGGTCGCGAATTAAAAATGACAGGTCAGTGTCTATCGATGATTTTATCCTGTGATTATAGTTCTACATTGATAACATAACGGAGCCATGTGAATTTAAACTATGTTGCGGGTAATCGTAAATTCACACTCGAGTAATCATGTTACAAAAGTGTGGTTCAGGTTTGTAGTCTTGGTTCAATATCTATCAACCATTGAGGTTTGAAAGAAACCTAGCAAAAGAGACTTTGGATCAAGCACGATACTGAACCAAACTATGCAGCTGTAAATGTTAACAAACCAACTTGTTTTAGATTGTACCCAAGTAACCGGTATTTAACATAATTGTAGAGCCTCGTTGTTTGGCAAACTTTAATTCCTAAAGAATAATTTTCCCATCAGCTTGCAGAAATGAAGACTGGCAAAATGTACCTGTTGATATTTTGCATTATTATGTTGCTTGCAGTGCCCATGTGTAAGATGAAGTGAATCCTGTGTTCTGATTGGCTACCCAGGTGGGCAAGATGGGCTCATCTTTCTTGCTTGGGATTGCCCACATTGATCTAGTTGCCCTCACAGCCATTTTTAGGGTCGTCACGCAACGCTCCTCCCCACCAATGGCTGCTCACGAGATAGACACATTCCTTTTCCTAAAATTTACCAATAAGAAACAGGCTTCCATATTCTGGAAACCTGGTCCAAGTACCTCTCCATTACTTCAGAAAGCAAACAAACTGTTTTTGCAATTCTTGAGGGTGGACCGTGAGCCAAAGTTTTTACAATTAGTTCCATATCACCAGACAGGGTCTTGTTCACGTTCTTACTGGGATACTCAATGATGACCTTCATCTTTGTTTCGTTTTTTGGCTGATTTGTTTTGTTTTATCTTTGGACTTGATTTGACATGTACAAATGGGGCGGCGAAAGCGCTTTGTATGAGGGAAAACATACCATTGTCAAATAAACAACCTTGTGGTTTACCAATTGGACTTAAAGTCAGCCTTGGTAAGGTTGAACTCGAGGGAGTTAAGTTGGAAGAAGAACAAGTCGTAGGAAATTCATTTAAATTTACAAATGAAAGATGTTTTTTGATGGATGTCCCACTGACAGGTGTTAATTGATTTATATTTTCAGTGCGCAGTAATCATTTCAAACGTTTGCCACTCTCTCAATAAGCAGACTTGAGTTCAATTTTATCTCTCTGACATGTTCTTCCGCTTTTTGGTATTTCACCAAAGACTTGTAGCATTTAATGCACACTGCAATGTCCAAATCAGAGTAAACATTTACGTCAATGTCCAGTGCCTTGTTTATAAGTCCTCGAAGGTCAGCAGAGCTTCTTCCCGTACTACCAGATTTAAAAACACAAACACGTTGTTTAGAAGTGATTGTAGCTGAACAAATAAAGCAATTTGTATCACTATTCAATATCTTTTTCGGAGTAACATTCAACTTCCACTTGGGCAAGACCGCACAGGTGTGTATCTGTTTTTTGTTTCACGCGCCCAGCAAATCTAAGGAGGAAATTGATTGGTGTAGCCGATAACAGTAATGTGCATTCTATTGGTTTTCAGTAACAAAGAGAAAGGAATGTGTGTCTCTTGTGAGCAGCCTTTGGTGGGGAGGAGCATTGCGTGACGACCCTAAAAACAGCAGCCAGGGAGACTAACATTGATTCAGCACATAAAAAAACTAGACCTAGAACTATATTTATAATTTTTTAACAATTTTGGTGATGGAAACATAAAAAGCGGCAGAAGATAGTCAAAACAAAGAAAACAGAAACGACTCTTGTGAGTTTGTTGTGCTATGAACACAGTTGGCTTTCTTTCCCGGTTCTAGAAGTAAACAGGGTATTTTTAATTCTTAATAATGCGAATCTTTTTGCAATAGAATAAATCCTTTATTTATCAAGCTGGTTTGGTCAAGATGGCTGGATATTAGACTCATTCTTTTTTCACATAGACTGAGATGAAGTCTAGGTCCACAAAAATGCCAATGTCCAGCCATACAACAACAATTTATTTATTTACAACAACAATTACTATTTGAGAAATGCCTACCCACAATTAGTTAAAAACTAGTCGAGGCGGGTAGGTATAATTAACTTGGGCTTATCACTAGTACTTACAAGGATTTCGAATTGGCAGCAGTTCAGATTACACTAAGAAAACAGTAGTTCAAATTATGCTAAATAATAAATTAAAATTAAGAATTCAAAGTAAATTCCTTTAATGATAATAATAACAGGAAAATAGAAAGACTTCACTATATTGGTTGTAGCTAGAGGATTGATGGGGTTTACAAATTTTTAATTATTTCAAGAATTGATGATGGTGTAAGATACAAGTTCTTTTGTTTGAAGATATTAATAAGTATTTCATGTATTTGTTTTTTAAATAAATTTCTATGAGCAGATTTTTTAATGCTGTCAGGTAAGGCATTCCATAGCTGCATGCCAAAGTGGGAAAAGAATTCTTAAGTTGTTCCAGACAGGAAGACATGACATAAAATTTGTTGGTAGTTGCATGCTGATCTGGTGTTGTGGGAATGTATATCTGAGACATATAGGTAAATAGATTTTGAATATGGGAAGGAGCTAGTTTATTTTGAATATCATACATTAAACAAGAAACAGATTCAACATAAAGAAAATGAACAGGCAGGATATTAAGATTAATAAAAAAGGAATAGCATGTTCACACTTTGGAGAAAAGTTTATTAAAGGAATTACCCGCTTCTGAAGGAGAAGAAGCTAATATCCAAAGTTGACTGTGACGCTTGACCCCATGAGCTAATTCCATAAGTAAGGTAGGGGAGAATAAGAGACATATAACTTGACAATCATAGAAAGGGGTACAAAGTGTCTTAGTTTAGCTATCATACCAATGGATTTGCTAATTTTTAGAGCAATGAGATCAATATGATTTTTCCAGTTAAGATTCTTGTCGATGAGTTTGCCAAGATATTTTACATAATCCTTGCATTCTAATGGTGAATATGACATTTTATCGATGTCAAAGATATTTATCGTCGGTTGGAAAGATAGCTTCTTTCTATAATTTTGAAATATCACATAAGTAGATTTCTTAGCATTTAGAGTTAATTTGTTTGCTGTCAGCCATTCACAAAGCTTGGTTAGCTCAACGTTTTCTTCTTATTCTAGGGATTTAAGGTTTTTACTACCATATAAGATACTGGTCAGTCTTGACCTCATGCTTGGTTAATAATGCATATATTGAGTGAATGTAAAAACTGTAAATAATGACTAACAGAAAGTGGAAAATGTACCAAATATCTTTATTTTTGTTCCATTAAAAAGGTATGAATTTGCAAACAAGCAATCTCAGCTAAAGACAGTGATTGATCACATGGGAGAAGCTTCCACTAGGGTGAGAATTGCTTATTGCAGTATTAGTTCAACTATCTCCTTGAAACAAGTTTGGGTAAAATTAATTATATTGTTTTCCTGGCATGTTACAATTAAGCACTCTGACATAAGACGAGGTGTGGTAGGGATTCATGTTTCAAAACATGAGTTTTGAGTTTGTATACAATATACCTTATACATGTATGCTATCTTTGCAGATTTTCTGCTGTTTTTTTTTTTTTTTTTGCATTGAAATGATTTTACAAAACTGACTGCAATAATTAAGGCACACAACTCAAAATTGGGAAGGAATTTCATGATTTGTGAAGAATTTAGAATTTGATAAAAAGAGCAACAAGGATCCCAGCAAAATGCTACTCACTTGTAGCTCAGGAAACATGGTGTACATGGTTGTAATTGTTTGTAGAAGATTAACCAAATGCATTGTCTGAAATTACGTGTACCGATTAAATTTGGTATAAGAAACAGGAGAAATCAACTGATTCTGAGCTAATCAATTTAGGAGACTAGTAAATGGTGAAGCTAAGAGAGTTATGAGATTTTCAAATTGATTAAAATTATTAAATTTTTTATTAAAGTTAACTTGGGTAATGATTTAGAAGTATTACGAGGGGTTGGGTGGGGGTCATGATTAAATGTCTTTTAAAGCTAAAAAAAATTAATTAATTTCGATTTTTTAGTTTTTTACTCAACCCAAATCTTTCCTCCCCAAAGGCCCAAGGTCTGAGAGCTCCGATTACAAGTGCAATGAAACTGCAACATTCAGATCACAAGCTCTATATTATGAAGGACTCAGCAGCAAATAAGTATGTTTCCATCATTATCATCAATAGCGTACATGATTGATAGGTTTATGTTGTCAGAACTGGAAAAGTGAAAAGGGGGAGGGAGTTACATTTGCCAGAAAAGTGAGAAACTGGAAAATTAAAATCAAAGCTGCGTGTGGTGACACAAATACTGTTTAGTAAGTAAAATGAGGTTTTTTATTTATTTTATTTTGGAATCTAGTGGCCAAGGAGCAGTTGTGGGGATTCTCAAAGTTGGTCATAAAAAGTTGTTTTTAATGGTGAGGGAAGATTGATATGATTCTATCAAGGGAACACAGCAAAATATTATTTTTTACCTGGCTTTATTCGTTGTTAATTCGCCAGTTTGAATTTCAGCCATTTTGTTTTTGAGTTTTGATTACCGCTGATGCTTTGTATTGCAGGCGAGTGCCAAAGGCACAAGAGTTTATTGGGACTTGTTCAGAAAACTCTCGTGCCTTCGGCGCTTGCTTACGATACAAAGCATCAGCAGTAGACAATACTCAAAAAGAAAATGGCGGAAATGCAAAGTGGCAAATAAACAACAAATAAAACCAGGTTAAAACAAAAAATTTTGCTGTGTTCCCTTGATTGTATTACACAAACTCCGTTCGAAATATATGAGAAAACATCAGGTAGAATTCCGCTTATTTGTGCTTTGAACCATTCTTAGAATCACTACTGTAACAGTAACTGACAAAACTGAATTTTTTAGTCCTTGTTTTTGTCATTGTTGTTTGTGCCTTTATTTGTTTTATTGGTTATGTGTGATGTGTCTGTGTTTATGGAGTTGGAAACTTTAAGAGAAAAAGTTGTACGGTTTCGACTTGAGTTATCAATGATTGACATTTTTGTAATTGCACCTCATTAGGATATGCAAAGTGTGCATTATGAAGTTAATCCTCTGTGTGTACTGGATTTCTATATCCATGAATCTCGTCAGAGAACTGGTTGTGGCAAAAGGCTGTTTGAACATATGTTGAAGGTACAGTATCGGGAGAAACTTAAAATAATTATAATCTGAAATGTAGGTATGTTGAGGGGTACTAATGTAAATGCAGCAGTACTGCAGATGGTGTAAATCTCATTCTTATTTCTTTGGTATTGGTATGTTAGTGAGGTAAATGGAATTTTCTAGTGGACAGTTGCTGTTTGACTTTGAACAGTTTGACACATTGAGCCATTCCATTTAATATCTGCACCCTCCTACTATTGAAGGCCTGGGATTTCTTAGGGGGGTCAATGCTCTATTTTTTCTTAGGGGGGTTGAACCATATTTCTGAGAGGAGTCGCCATAAAGTACCCTTAACAGAAATGCTCATGAGTAGTTTCTGAAGGGGGTTCAATTGGTTTGCTTGATAGCTACATAAAATTCTGAAGGGGGTTAAAATTTTTTTTTCTGGAGGGGTGTTACAGGAAAGCTTTCAATAGGGGGGGGGTGCGGATTTTAAATGAAATGGCCCATTTTCAATGTACCTCTTCTTTGGATGCAAACGCTTTCTGTTTCTTTCAGATGGAAGGTAGAATGGTTTATCATTTGGCTATTGACAGACCATCTCATAAGTTTGTATCTTTTCTAAAGAAATATCATGGCTTCAAAAATGCAATACCACAGGTTAGTCACTATTTTCTATACGTTATGGAGTGTCATAAGTTTCGGTACAAATTTGTTTGAATCAGCAGAACACACAGGTGTCTTGATTTTAAATTATGAAAGTGTTTGAAGATAAAGAGTCCACTTTTTTTAGTAAATGGCACAGAAGAAAATTTCCACATCGTAGAATGATGCTTGTAAGGAAAAACTCAACAGCGGAACCACAAATTATCACGTGACTTTGCTAAATTCTACAACGTTCGTTGATCGATCACATACACTATCATTCAATTAAAAATGCCCGAGGGGTTGCTAAATGGGGGGAGGGAGGGGGGATGTTGAAGCTCCAAATCGATCGACACATTGCTACTTAGTCTCCTTCAGGGCTGTTGTTTGGTCTCGTAGCACAATGCACTCTCTCTTCACATGACATTTGTTTGGAGCATTGCGTGATATTCCCGGCTGCAAAGGAGGCTGGTGACTACTATATTTAGATACCGACAAATTGTTCAAGATGACCTTGACCAAATGCTGAGCTCCCGCTTTTCTTTAAGGATGAGTAAGACTTGTTAAACGCATTCCCCTCAACATACTTTAAGCGTGCTTTGTTTTGAATACTCTGATGTCCTTTTCTTATCAGGCAAACAACTTTGTGATTCATGAACATTTCTTCTCGGATCTGCAGGGTAAGAGTATTGCTACAATTCCGTCGATCTAGAGAGCAATTGTGAAATAACTAGTCTGAAATCTTAAAGCATATATACAGTACTTTAAATAACACATTTGTTCACTTTCTCGATCGTCTTCGTTCCTTCACTCACTCGCGTTCTCGTATAATCCTCTTTGTGCCCTTCTGCGGACAAGGTCATGCCTAGCCTGTATCTTCGTTTTGGTAACTATTGTTTCATTGAACTGCCAATTTTTCTTTCTTTTTTTTTTTTTTTATAATTCGTTTTCCAATGTCTCGATACATTTGGCTATATAAAAATATGGATATTTTTGAAAATTACCAACAAATGAGAACCAGTAAACTCAGTTATGATCACAAAAACCTCTTCCAGAACTTTACAATTAGATCAAGAGTTGCCTATTTTCACATTACCGAGAGATACCTTTTACTCTGGCTACTTGAAAAGGTACAACACAACCAATTTTCTCTCTCTCTTTCTCTTGGCCACAAAGGAACCGACGAAGCAAGGCAAAGACCTGTGGCGAAATGGATATTATTTACTTTAAAATTTCCAATTACAGAAAATGAACAGCTACTCAAACATTGGAGTAAAATAAGTAGTAAGCGGAATACTCAGGCTCTATAATACCTAAAAAGTTTATCTTCTATTGTTATGAAATAATGTAACAGATAAACAAGGCAAAAATGGCAAACGATCTTTGTATTCATCAAAATTTAATAAGAGCTAAAGCAGATGCAGTAAGATTACACTCAGGTTCACTGAAATAGCCTAGAATTTGAGTTTCCTGTTTGGTATCAGTTTATTCAGGAAATAATTTTCAATTTTTTTTTATGATTCTAAAACGCACTGAAAACAGCTAGAGCCACACTCAGTTTCGGTCGGATCGATACTGAAGTGTATTGTAACGGAAGTGTTAAAAGGTTACGTTTGTAGGCATCCCGTGATGCCTAGCGAAAGTTGTTGTTGTGGTACTCGTTGGGTGCCATGTGGATAGTGTGTGGATTAAAGTATCGAAATCAAAGAACATCGAAGGCTTTTATTGCCGTATATCCAAATATCACAGATACAACGGACACTGACTTAATTCGGAAGCTGCATTCACCGAAACATTCAACCTCGGTAAAAGTCGAAAGCAGTTGGAAGCACTGAGTTGAAAGTAGCCAAGACAATTTATAAACGAATAAAGGCTGATAGTTTCTAAAGAAACTGTTTGGGGCTGCGTCGATGGGTTTACCAAAATAATTTGGATATATCAACAAAGTTGAAATCGTAAAATAATTGGCCACCGTAACGATTACAAAAGCTTCCACGAAGGGCTAAAGCTCGAAACGTCAGCTTTTGTAATCGTTACGGTGGCCAATTTACCATTTCAATTTTGTTGATATATCCAATTTATAAACGGCTCAGAAAAAATTTTAAGAAAACTACTTTAATGTTATAAGCACTGTTGGACAAATTCTTATTCTATTACAGGCAAATAAACATTCATCTTCAAGTAACTAATGTCTTTATTTGTTCTCCTGAAAATAAACGGACTGCATATACTTTGTCAATCTTACTAAGTGATATATCAACAAAGTTGAAATGATAAATTGGCCACCGTAACGATTTTTATCATTTCAACTTTGTTTATATATCCAAATTATTTCGTTACCCCCACTGACGCAGCCCCAAACAGTTTCTTTAGAAACTATCAGCCTTTATTCACTAAGTGATATGTCACCTGCCGGCATTCTTATGCAAACCGAAGATGTTCTTGCCGTCAGAGCAAAGGGTTGAGCAAACTTAGATTTTACAGCCAAAATTATTGCGAAAAAGTCCTTGATAGATTAGGGATTGCCGAAAACCGCTAAAAATTCAAAGGTTTGCTGCAGCTGAAAGGCTATTTTCGAAAACAATACACAACATACTACTTGGTCATGTGTGAGGCTGCTGACCAAGTAAATGGGCATGTTATCTTTGACGACAGGGACAGGTTAACAACGGTTGCTAAAGGGGCCTGAATTCACCGGCAAAAGTAGCGTAGATTGACTTTACGACGTTACGAAGAACCGATCTAGCCTTGGAGACTCTTCTAACCCCAAGGTCACGTTGTTTTCACTGAAGTGACCCACGCAAAAATTTTAAACGGATAAGAAACAAGTGGCAACCTCTGTCGCTATGGCGAAGAGGTGCAAATGGAAACGATGTTCTCCTGACAGGTTTAGAGTCATTTGATGTCTCAGCAATGGTGAAGATGCCTGGTTCTAACACGTGTGGCACGGATTTCGTGTATGAGGTGTTAATCTAACCGAACAATACAGATGGAGTTTGCCTTTAACATCAATGACTTGTTACTCGATCCAATTACACTCGTTGACGACAAGTTAGCTCCATTTCGGTCGCGAATTAAAAATGACAGGTCAGTGTCTATCGATGATTTTATCCTGTGATTATAGTTCTACATTGATAACATAACGGAGCCATGTGAATTTAAACTATGTTGCGGGTAATCGTAAATTCACACTCGAGTAATCATGTTACAAAAGTGTGGTTCAGGTTTGTAGTCTTGGTTCAATATCTATCAACCATTGAGGTTTGAAAGAAACCTAGCAAAAGAGACTTTGGATCAAGCACGATACTGAACCAAACTATGCAGCTGTAAATGTTAACAAACCAACTTGTTTTAGATTGTACCCAAGTAACCGGTATTTAACATAATTGTAGAGCCTCGTTGTTTGGCAAACTTTAATTCCTAAAGAATAATTTTCCCATCAGCTTGCAGAAATGAAGACTGGCAAAATGTACCTGTTGATATTTTGCATTATTATGTTGCTTGCAGTGCCCATGTATAAGATGAAGTGAATCCTGTGTTCTGATTGGCTACCCAGGTGGGCAAGATGGGCTCATCTTTCTTGCTTGGGATTGCCCACATTGATCTAGTTGCCCTCACAGCCATTTTTAGGGTCGTCACGCAACGCTCCTCCCCACCAATGGCTGCTCACGAGATAGACACATTCCTTTTCCTAAAATTTACCAATAAGAAACAGGCTTCCATATTCTGGAAACCTGGTCCAAGTCCCTCTCCATTACTTCAGAAAGCAAACAAACTGTTTTTGCAATTCTTGAGGGTGGACCGTGAGCCAAAGTTTTTAAAATTAGTTTCATATCACCAGACAGGGTCTTGTTCACGTTCTTACTGGGATACTCAATGATGACCTTCATCTTTGTTTCGTTTTTTGGCTGATTTGTTTTGTTTTATCTTTGGACTTGATTTGACATGTACAAATGGGGCGGCGAAAGCGCTTTGTATGAGGGAAAACATACCATTGTCAAATAAACAACCTTGTGGTTTACCAATTGGACTTAAAGTCAGCCTTGGTAAGGTTGAACTCGAGGGAGTTAAGTTGGAAGAAGAACAAGTCGTAGGAAATTCATTTAAATTTACAAATGAAAGATGTTTTTTGATGGATGTCCCACTGACAGGTGTTAATTGATTTATATTTTCAGTGCGCAGTAATCATTTCAAACGTTTGCCACTCTCTCAATAAGCAGACTTGAGTTCAATTTTATCTCTCTGACATGTTCTTCCGCTTTTTGGTATTTCACCAAAGACTTGTAGCATTTAATGCACACTGCAATGTCCAAATCAGAGTAAACATTTACGTCAATGTCCAGTGCCTTGTTTATAAGTCCTCGAAGGTCAGCAGAGCTTCTTCCCGTACTACCAGATTTAAAAACACAAACACGTTGTTTAGAAGTGATTGTAGCTGAACAAATAAAGCAATTTGTATCACTATTCAATATCTTTTTCGGAGTAACATTCAACTTCCACTTGGGCAAGACCGCACAGGTGTGTATCTGTTTTTTGTTTCACGCGCCCAGCAAATCTAAGGAGGAAATTGATTGGTGTAGCCGATAACAGTAATGTGCATTCTATTGGTTTTCAGTAACAAAGAGAAAGGAATGTGTGTCTCTTGTGAGCAGCCTTTGGTGGGGAGGAGCATTGCGTGACGACCCTAAAAACAGCTGCCAGGGAGACTAACATTGATTCAGCACATAAAAAAACTAGACCTAGAACTATATTTATAATTTTTTAACAATTTTGGTGATGGAAACATAAAAAGCGGCAGAAGATAGTCAAAACAAAGAAAACAGAAACGACTCTTGTGAGTTTGTTGTGCTATGAACACAGTTGGCTTTCTTTCCCGGTTCTAGAAGTAAACAGGGTATTTTTAATTCTTAATAATG